TTTTAAAAATTATTACAAAATATATATATATATATATATATATATATATATATATATATATATATATAATTGTAATGGGAGATCAATTGTCGTTTTATAATTTCAGGGACTGGAGAAGCTTGGGAGGTGGAAGATCAGAATGGGCTTTGAAAGTTGAAGAGAACATCTTCGGCACACGTCGTGCATGCATGTGAAGAATATCTACGTAATTATATGTAATAACGTACGTACGTTTGGAATGTGATATGGACCTTACGTGCTCGGACCGAACTGGATAGGCTCGGTCCGGATTAATATATGATAACATTTAATATATACGTACTACTACCGAATAAAATAAGGATGAATAATTATGTACATCGTGTAATCGATCAAAATGGTGAAATAAACATTACGTGTTGTGAATCTATATACATCTTCTTCAGTTGTTGAGTTCTCTATAAATACTGTTCATACAAAAAAAAATCTATATATATATATGATGAATGTACTGGACAATAACAAGTTATATGAGTATACGAAATGGTTAGTGCAATTTGTAGTTTATAGTAATAATAAAATTGGATTTAACAATTACAAAAACAAGGAAATGACAGGGCATATGAAACATATTAATATATCGATTAGCAAAAATATACAACTCAATTATAATGTGTTTATCTCTTTAATGTTATGGTGTCAAATTAGTGGCACATAGATAATTTCTTTTATATGTTATTCGGTCTAAACCGATTTTGTATACGAACTCTTTATTTATTAATATATTTGTACCTTTTATAAAAAAAAAACTCAATTACAATGTATAGTTGTTGATAAAGTTACAAATCCAATAATACATAAATGGTATTGCAGTATGTAAACTAAACCAAACCAAATAATTCATAATGTTGAACCAAATATTCACAACGATCAAACAAGTCATGTTCGGAGTGTGAAGAACAGGTACGTATGGTGACGTTGTTGAACACAAACACACACAGATGCGATTATGGACTGATCGATGAGTGACACAGTCCATGGAGTGATTTGGGTGTTAAGATCGATATATGAATCTGCAATATTTGTCTTTAGCATAAGAGATATCGTTCTTTTTTTTTTCTGTCACCATATTTCCCTGTAATGATTCACTTTCCTTTTTTTGTATGGTTACATGTCTGTTAAAGGGTGTGTAGTGTTTTTTGACAGAAACTCAATAAATGATGGAGAATCATTCTCCAACACTTTCTTTGAGTTCTTGAGTGTCTTAATCTTCAATCTCTGGTTCATACTTTTCGATTCTTTCATGGTATCAGAGCCCTAGGGCGAAAAATATATTTATCTTTCCTCTTCAAAACACATCCTTTTCTCTGCACTTTTTCTCTCTCGGATCCACATCCATGGAAAATTCACTGCCCAAAATCATTCCCATCATCTTCGATGGCAAAAATTACTTGATTTGGTTCAAAGCTGCTCGAACCACTCTGATCGGAATGGGACTTTGGATTCATGTTCTGAAAGATCATGAGTCGACGACGCCAATACCATCCGATCCGCTATAGAACCTGCCGAAGAAATCTCAGAAACTGCTGCACAAACAATGACACCGTTGACAGATCCAACCGAAAGCAAATGGTTTCAAGAAGACCAGCAAGCTCTCGCGATTTTGCAGAGCTCTTTGGCTCCTCACATCATCAACAACTATATCTATTGTGAGATAACCAAAGCACTGTGGAATAAGCTGAAGCTCGTCTATGGGAATCTGTCAAATATGAGTCGAATTTACGAAATTAAGAAGTCCCTTTCGGCTGTTCAACAAGGTGGTCGTCCTTTCGAAACCTGTCTTGGTGAGATCAGTATCCTCTGGGCAAAGTACGAGCAATTGAGGCCAGACACATCAGATCAGAAAATCATTCTAGAGCGCAAAGAACGGAATAAGGTATTTTCCATTCTTTCATGCTTAGACGGAACGTACAACGACCTTGTTTACCATGTGCTCAGGCAAGAAAAGGTTCCCTCCGTCGATGAAATATGCATGCTAATCCAACGCGAAGAGGGCACTCGCAGTCTGTTCCATGGCTCGCTGGATATTGCCCATCATGCTTCTCAAAGTCCCTCTGCCCAAACACTTGTTGAAGAGGCAAACATGGTTCGTACGCCATTTCCAAACACCTATCACAAGGACAAACACAGTTTTATATGTGAAAATTGCAAGAAACCCGACCATGACAAAACGAGGTGTTGGTTCCTGCATCCCCATCTGAAACCCGCGACATTCCAAAACAGAGAATCCCGTGGCAAAAACACAGACAACGGTAACAAGTTTCTGCAGTCAGGAGCAACAAACCACATGTTCTCCTCTAAGCACTTATTTAAAAATCTACAGAAAATGTTTGGTTCTGCCTCAGTTGCTAACGGACACAGAATTGCAATTGCAGGAAAAGGCTCTATTAAGTTCTTTGATAAAACAATTACTACACTTTATGTTCCACAATTAAAAACAAATCTCATTTCTGTTCCAAAGCTAACGACAGATTTGGATTGTACTATAACATTTGATGCTATGGAGTTTGTTTCCAGGATACTAAGACTCGACGGATTTCGGCAAAGGCACTCTCACGAATAATCTTTATATGCTTGGAGCATCATCCTCTTCATCAGAATCTGCATTTAGTGTTATTTGGCATGCTAGACTTGGTCACCCCCATAATAAATCATTGCAAAAGTTGTTACCGAATGTTTCTTATGATAATAAAGATTGTGACGCTTGCATTTTTGGAAAGCATTGTCACTATGTGTTTCCGCATTCTAATACCGTCTATAATCGTTGTTTTGAACTTGTGCATTCCGTTATCTGGACGGCCCGTGTTTTTCTAGAGTTAAATACAAGTATTTTGTGTCTTTTATTGATGAGAAATCCAAGTATACTTGGATTACTTTGCTCGGATCCAAACGAGACGTTTTTTCGGCATTCAAAAATTTTCATGCTTATATCACTAATCATTATCAGACCACTATTAAGTTTTTCTGAACAGATAATGGTGGGGAATACACAAGCAACGTGTTCCAAGAATATCTTCAACAACACGACACTGTTCATCAGGCTTCTTGCCCGCATACTCCTCAACAGAACGGTGTCGCAGAACGGAAGAATTGTCATCTCCTTGAAGTGTCTCGGACACTTCTGTTTCATCGGAATGTTCCCATCAAATTTTGGAGTGATGTGGTTACGACGGCGACGTTTCTTATAAATCGTCTACCCACAAAAATCTTGAATGACAATACTCCTTTCAAGGTACTCAACAATAATCCCGCTACCCTTGATTATTTGCGTGTTTTTGGTTATATATGTTTTGCGAAGGTACCGGATAGTATATGTCACAAACTCCAACCGAAAAGCACCAAATGCATTTTCCGTCAACAGATAAAAAAGGATACAAGTGCTACGACCTGATCAAGGGCTGAGTACAAATTTCTCGGGATGTTATCTTTCATGAAGACCGAAGCTTCTTCGAAAAGGAACAGAGTGCAACCCTTGATGGTTGGCTTCTTGATTCAACTCACTACAACACTACGCTGTCATGTCTTCTCAGTGTTGCTCGAGATTTTCAACCGGTCACGAACATACCTTCCCGCTCCCCTTCAGCGTCATCTTCTTTGTCTTCCCCCGGTAATTCTATCATAAACTCTGCTGATTCTTCTGCTAACAATCATCCAAGTTTGCAGGATGCAGTCTCTTCATCACATCATGAGCAACTTTCAGTTTTGTCCTCTCCTACTCCTGAGATTGACTTGATAAGTCTCTCTCCTGATACACATGTCGAGCAGCCTCATGATGAACCAAGTCAATAACATGTTACAGGAAATATACCAACTACGTCCACTGTGCCCACTGAAATACCAAGCATGCTCATCGATGACGGCATTAGGAAGAGTGCTCGAATTCAAGAACGACAAAACAAAAGTGGTACCTCTGTTTTATATATTATACAAGATTATTGTACCCACTTATATTCTGATGAATTGATGTTTTTTAGCCAATTAAATAAACACAGTGAGCCAAGTTCATATAGTCAGGCAAAAGACAACGAAGTTTGGCAGGTTGCCATGCAGGAAGAACTCGAGGCATTGGAGAAGAACCATACTTGGACAATTGTCGATACACCATCTGATAAAAATATTGTCGGCAACAAGTGGATTTATAAAATAAAATTCCGCAGCAATGGTGACACAGAACTGCTGGGTCACAAGGGATCCTAGACCGCCGGTTCAAAATCGTGTTAGGATCTGGTCCGCGGGTTTACGCAGTGGAATTAGTGTTCAAAACCGATTTTGAACACCCACAGACCAATCTTTCGATGAAGAACTTCTCTTGGAGAGAAATACTAATCTTTGATTCACAATCTGAAGGTTATATGTTGATCACAGCCTAGGTGTTGAAAGAGCCAACATCCTCTTGAGTAGTCCACACTCTTGGGATGGTTTCAAACACTTGGAAACTAGCATGCTAGAGCTTGAAGAGATCAAATCTCTAGTGTATGAGTGTTCTTGAACACTTGGGAGAGTTCTCTCTCTCTCTAAAGCTTTCCAAAGGTCTGAGAGATCGAGCAATGATGAGTCTAGTTTGTCCCCAACTGCTCCAACTAAGAAAAGGGGAGAAAAATTGCACTTTTGGTCTGATTGTCACTTGGTCCGGGGCTGACCAACTCTTGGTCTGCCGGACCAAGTGAACAAAACGCCAAAATTCTGCGCAGTCACGTGCTTGGTTCAGAGCTGACCAGAAATCGGTCCGCCCGGTTCAGCGAACCAGAACCTTGGTTCGCCGGACCAGTCGAGCTCTGGGCCGTGCCCTTAGTCCGACTGACTAGTTGGTCCGACAGACCAAGCCATGCTCGAACCAACACGATCTGCTCCGACTGACTGGTCTGGTCTGGTCCGGCTGACCAACTTTTGGTCAGCTCCGGACCAGCCAGTTATTTTCGCCAAATCGGTCTGCTTCTCCCAAGTCCATCTGGTCCGGCTGACCAACTCTTGGTCAGCTCCGGACCAGACCTCAAAGACGGAGAAAAATCCTATTTTTCTCGTCTGTTCGATCCCATGCATACACGTCCATCCCATATGTGGGTGACCCTTTAGGCTCCTCCGAATACTATAGTAAACGCGAGATCCAACCTCGCTTTACAAATCATAAGCGGTCTCTAGCAAGACATTATGATTACCCGTATCAGAAAGAGTTAGATGTGATCTAACCGAAAAGCCAGAGATAGCTCTAACGATGATCCTCTTTGTCTCACGATATCATAATCGAACTCATAGTCCAATTGCTTTGTCGTATCCCGAGTAGACTGTAAGAGATAGATGACATTCATCTATAGTGCGGCCACACATTTTTACAGTCTTACTCCTACGACGGGCCCAAGTGATATCTCTCTCTTTCAAGAGAGACAAAGTTCCATCCTGATTATCTACTATCCATTACATGATTCGTAATATACAAAAACTCACATGGTATCAGAGCGTTAAGAGTTATGAAGTTCATTCTTATTCATTCCGCTGCAAAATACCGCAAAACAACCTCATTTTTCGAAACATATTCCCTCTCGAATCATTCTTCAATCGAAGATGAGCCTGTTTCTATTATTTTATTTTCAAAAAAAAAGGAAAGGTGTCTCTTGGTTGATACAAAACCAATTTTTTTTTATCCCTCTTAGCTTGCAGCAAATCAAAGAGGAGATTGAATATGACGAAATATTTCATGTCTCACGAAGACTACAAGATCATTGCCACGTTTGAGTATATTCGGAAGATCCGAATAGTTGATAATATATGGCCTTGGACAACAAAAGAAGAGAGGGATCATGCTTGTGAAGAAGTGATGGTCGAACTCAAGAAGATTCATCCGGGCTTTGACATCAACACACGGTTATTGTTTCATTTTCTTGGATTACTTACGGGTGATTATAACAATTTTATACTTTTGATATTGTCATCAAAGGTTATACCAACCATTCAAGAAGCAAGATTAATGAGGTTAGAAGAACGATTAGCAAGAGGAGATCAAACTCCAACCACAACATACTCCGAAGAAGAGCTCACCGACATAACAGTTCGTGAATTTTTTCTACAAAAAAATGAAGCCACTCCACTAGCCAAATGAAGAGAAATGTTTGAATGACTGTGATAATTTTGATATATTTGGCTCAGTGGATGAAGAAAGGGGAACTGATATGGCTGAAAAGGAAGAAGCGTTGAAAGAGCAATCTACCTAGGTTGAAATTTTCAAAGAGGAAAAAGTGACTCAAGAAGAAGCAATATTCGAGCCTATGCCACTACCTCTCCTTGCCTTCATTTGTTTCATATCGAATGTATTGTGCAGTGGCTTGATAAAGTCGTCATTGCCCATTGTGTTAGTTTAGTTTCCATTTTGAAATACAACCTCTAGTGGAGTAGAAGGAATTTTCATTTATTTTTTATATTAATATCTTGGATGTTTTCTCAGTATTACACGCAATGCAAAAGAAGTGAAAATGTTTCATAGGATTCATTGGAACCAATTTAAGCAGAATTTTATTTACAATCTTATGACACTGTCAGTGGAATTATACTATTATTATTATTATTTTTACATCGATCGTGTGTCAAAGAAGATGAACCCAAAACAGCGCGATAATCGATCTATTGTAATAGATTGGTCGTTGATCACTCCTCTAATGGACATGGTCATCCAGAACCATGGTACCCATATCTTGATTTATCAAAAAATATATAAAAAATATCTCAGTTATTTTTTTCATATATATTCAAATTGTTTCCAAATTGTATAATATTATTAATGTCGTTAAAGATCTAATCATATTTATATTTAAAAGTGAAAGATTAAGAAAAATTATGTTATGCGAGTCACAATAAAACTAGATTTTTTTGTCCCAAAAATGTACGAGATGAATTGTTATATTTTACTCTCTCTCTATGTGTATATTTGAAAATTGTCCGAATATGATATATGAATGACACAAACCCCTTACTCGTTCATCAATGTACCCCAGGGAAGACCCATGGAAGAGAAAAATTTGCAGAAGGATGTAGCTTGAAGAATGATGTCGAAGTTGATGTGGTGACTGAGATAGTATTCAACCTCTTTAGAGGTAAATCCATTCTGATTCAATTTTGTTGAAATAAAGAGATTGTTAGATTGTGATTTCCAGTGATCTTCAATGTAACCGCATTGTCAAAGGAAAGGAGGAAACAGATTAGCATTGACATTATTTTCCCTTGTAGTGCTCAAGTATCTGCCATCCAAGAAAAGATAAGAGGGGTGTATAGCAGTGAGCCTGGTGTGTTATTCACTCTCACTGTCCGGTCCATTGACGGTTCCAAGGCGGTGAAGAGGACATTATCATAGTATTAACGGTTCGGTCTAACGAAAGCGGAGAACTTGGTTTCATGTCAGACCGACAGTGAACAAATGTAGCACCCACCCGTGCAAGGTTTTGCTTGTGTATAATTGGCAATGAAGCAACTCTGATAAAGAGCAAGTGTGTGTGGATGAACTAGTAGAGGATGCTCAAGTACGTAGTTGTTTTCACGATGTTAGGGAGGATAAATCATTAGTCCAAGCCATGGAAAGGGGGGTGTTGCAGGGCGAATAATTCAAAACATTCTTCTATTCTTTTGCACAGATATCAGTATTGAATATTCATCTGTTTTTCACTCCATATATGGCAAAATGACTGAAGATTGCGTACAATGGTTTTACTGCAATTAAATGATCTCTTAACTGAATTGGAATGCTAGGATCTAACAATCTAGTTGTGCATATGATGGTTGGATTCATTGTGTTCTTTGCGACTGTGTGAATTTATTTTCTTTCCTTCTTGAACTTGAAAAACCAAAATGCAGGTTCTTTCACAAACAAAACAACGTAGAGAGATCCAATCGCTTGAACATATTCAAAGGTTTTTTTTACCAAGACCGTTCATTTGTCAAATATGATATATATTTTTTCTAATAAAAACATTTTTTTATCAATATCATTTCTTTGAATGCATGAATGAAATATCATCAAAAGACCTTGAAAAATTCACAGTCAAGTCCTCAACACCAACTCTCTGTTCTTTTAGGTTCGTTACAACTATTTCAAACACGACTTTGGTCCCCACACTGCTCAAGTCAGAAGATGTTACTAAAAAAATATTGCATTTATCATCTAATCGTCAATATAACATATGAAATATACATTACTCGATTAGAAAAGGAAAAAAATTATATAAGAAAAACAAAGTAGAGAAGGTTTGATCATGACTATAGACATTCTTTTTTCCGATCTGGAATATCATCAAAAGGCCTTGAAAAATTCACAGTCAAGTCCTCAACACCAACTTTCTGTTCTTTTAGGTTCGTTACAACTTCTTCAAACACGACTTTGGTCCCCACACTGCTCAAATCAGAAGATGTTACAAAAAAAATGTTGCATTTATCATCTAATCGTCAATAAACATATGAAATATATATTTCTCGGTTAGAGAAGGAAAAAATTATATAAGAAAAACAAAGTAGAGAAGGTTTGATCATGACTATAGACATTCTTTTTCCCGATTTGGAATTTGCTGCATTTTGTTCTACAAAATCGACGGTTGGATCGATTCTCCATTCCATATGACGGATAAGCACGCCTTTGCATATGGCAGGTTTGATCATATGTGTATATATAGATATACCAGTGTGAATATTCATTCACGCCACCTGTCATTCATCATTTGAGTAGTTCTTTTTTTTTTCCCTCGTAAAACTGGAAAAATACAGTCAGATTGAATGTGATGAGAGCATCCTGGATATTAACTCCATTATGAACTTCCCGTAAATCCAATAGAAAAAGACAGGTTTGGTCATCTCACTCCACACTCAGCCCAAGGAACAGATATGTCCAAAGTTTTGGATTAGCTTTAATTACATTAAACTAATCTCAATTGTACCCTTAATATTCTACAAATTATCTCCTGCATCCCCTTTTCTTCCTAAAATTAATCACATGCTAATTAAAATCCGATCACGACGAATGGTAAAATAGTAATTTCCAAGAAGTTGTGTGCTCTTGGGTTTGTCCACGTCAGACTTGCTCGCGATTGAGTTCATAACAGAAACAAAATCTGCCAAAATCTTTTTTTGTTTTTAAAAAAGGAAAGATCCTACTCCTAACCAGAGATAGAGATGGGAATAAAAAGGAAACAACGAAACCTATATAACGAACAACTAACTCGCCACTCATTCTCCTTCTGCAAAACCCCAAAGAGTTCAACCTTGAGCGAGTGAGAATGGCGAACGGTGGAAAGTTCGAGGCTTTGGTGGATTTGGCAGTCATGGAGTTCCGGTTGCTGCTTTTGGCGAACGCTGCTGCCACGATGGACCAGAAATCCGACGGACTGCGAACGCTACGTTTCGACCGCATCTGGAAGTGCTACGTCCCCACCGGAAGGAGAAGCTCCCGGAGAAGACGCACCGACTTCGCTAACCTTATAATCCGACCAGACACTTCTCCTTCTTCTCTCTCCAATCCCATGGCGGTGAACGATGACGACGAAGAAGAAGACAGGAACAGCGCCAACAAACGGAAGAGGGTAAGATCCGTGGAAGAAGAGATCCCGGTGGAGAATGACGACAGCCCCTCTTCTTCTTCTTCTTCTTCTCTTCATCCGGTGAGAGAAACGCCGGCTTGGATAGCAGACGCCATGCAGAGGATGAAGGGGCAGGATGCGAGGTTGGTAACGGAGAAGACGCTCACTGCCAGCGACGTCAACAGAGGCCTTTCCCGCCTCTTGATACCTTTCACCGCAATCGTGGATGAAGATTTCTTGACGGAGGAGGAGCGTAGATGGATGGACCAACGGTACGAAGAGAACAGGAGGAAGGCTTACGCTGGGTTCAAGGTGGAGGTGATAGATTCAACGTCCACGACGTGGAGTTTGGCTTTGAAGAGATGGAACATGGAGAAGAAGAAGAAGAAGAAGAGGAAAACGAAGAAGCAGAAGGTGGAGAAGGAGGAGGAGGGGGGAGAGTTCACTGCCAATTACTCGTTGCAGAAGAAGTGGAACAAGGTTGTCGAAGCAAACGGGTTCATGGAAGGGGAAGTGCTCCAGCTCTGGTCTTTTAGGGTTCAAGGAAAGCTCTATCTCGCTGTCTTTATCATAAACTGAAGGGAAGGGGATATATATATATATTAATAAGTTTGCTTTACAGTTTTGTGTGCTTACCGAGGGACGAACATGATTAGAGTGAATGTATAAGGTTTAAATGTGACGGATTCATAGTTGAATGTCGTTTATGACCATCTCGTGGAATAATTAAAAAAAAAGTACATAGGTTTTGTTATCTTAAGATAATTAACGTTTTAAACTATTTTTATATTTTGTAGGCAATTTTTTAAAATAATTTTCAATTTTATCTTTATTACAATAGATTATTAATGATAATGGCAAGCTTTGTATAAGTGAAAGGTATATGAGATTTTTTTCTCAATTTTCTTAAAGACGTCAAGTTTTATAAAAACGGAGGGAGTATTGTAATAAAGGTTCTTCATAACTTCTTTTCATAAACTTGATCACATGCTAGAGGTTGTGTCCATCATCATATGTTATGTGTAATTTGTGTATTAAATGGGTGTGTTATGAATTTTATGTGTGCAGATTGCGGGGGGTTTTAATGTTCGTATATAGATTCTCATTATAAAATGTAAAAAAAAGGGAGATAATTACTAATAAAATCTTAATAACCAAGAACACACCTAGGGTTGCTCTATATCGGGCTGCTCAAACTAAATGCAAGACCAGGCTCAAGGCCCATTGGGCCTATAACCGCCACAGGCTCTTGCATGCCCTCTCCCCCATCTGTTCCGGAGTTATTTACAACCTTTGAAAATCTCCCAAATTCCCATACATTACATTTACTTCTTTGATTTGTACTACTAAAAAAACATGTTATGGAACATCAAAGGCAACTGTCTGGTTGGAGAAAACCGGCCTCAGTCCCGCCAGCATGACTGCAAGATGCTACGGCCGGTTTGTTCCGGTACGTTAGCTTCACGTCTTGAAGCTGGATGCCCGTACACGGCTTCTTAGGGCTACAATCAAGTTTTACACCCACCTCTGTCGTCGATGTTCCATGTATATCCATAAACGTCACGTCGCTGATTTTCACCCCGGAAGCCTGTAATTCGATCAAAGCATGTGAATCTCTAAAATTTGTTGGGATACTTGAGTATCCTGAACCAAAAGTAAGACTAATTTCGGGGTCGGATATCAGTTATGTGATTTGGAATATATATACGCATCCTCCCCAAATTTAAGATTCGAATTTAGAATGACACAAACGTTATTTCACCGGTTGAACTATCTAAGTTTTAGATTGTTGATATATATATATATATATCCGTGTGTGTACCTGGCTGGGGCAATTCTCGTTGCGAGGGCAGTAGTTTTGATCGATGACGATGGGGTTTTGAACGTTGTTCATAACACAATGCATGAAACGGACGTTACTGGCGAATCCGGTACTAGGCCTAGCCCATGACTTTATCCTCACCCCGTTCTCCGTTCCCATAAACGTTGCCGTTTTCACAGTCACGTTTTGTACCCCTTCCTCCACCTCGTCCTTCCCCAAGCTCCCAATGCTAATTAAGAATCAAACATTCAAAACAATATAACCATTTCTGTGAAAAGTTTCTTCCTTTTTTGGGTCTGGAGTCTTTGGACATTTAGTATAGGAACGTACATACGTACCTAATTCCGTGGCCGGGTCCACATGCAATGTTTTCGATCCATAGGCCGTTGGAACCGGGGCCGATGGACACGCAATCGTCGCCCGTGGCGATCTTGGAGTTGAGGATGGTGACAGTGGAGGATGATTGGACGTGGATTCCGTCCGTGTTGGGGCTGTTTCCGGCCGCCAAGATTTTCGTGCCTTGTATCTTTACGTTTCGGCATCCATTGATGACTACGTGGAACATCTGACTGTTCAGAGACGTTAGTCCGGAGACGACGATGTTGCTTGAGCTCTGAAACCCTATGGTCTGATGATCACATGCCCAAAACACATTACCCCCATTAATTAATCGTCATATTTAGATATATAAATGCCATATACTCTTTGACTAACGTGTATAAAAGGCACTGATGATAGTATAGTCCATGTGACATCTTTTTGGGCTCAGATCAAGCGGTCAACTTATAGCTTCGTAAGTCAGGAAAGGGTGTCACAAAAATCTAATCTTTTTTCATACGATGAAGTCCCTTGGAAAGTACGTATTTTCTGAATTAATTAATTAATTAAATTGATCAAGATTTGGACCATCGAAAGGTTAAAAAAGATGAAAAGGGCAATTGGGAAACGTACCGTGGCGCCACTCGGGCAGTTCTTGCCCGAACTTTTGCAAGCCCAGAGACCAGCTCCCTGAGCGTCGAGAACTCCGCCGTGGACGGAGACGCCGTCAACATGCTGGAAGAATATCCAATAGTCAGCGTTTCCGATGACCCGATAATCCGACGGAGCCACCAGAGTTCCGTCTATTCTAACGGTGATTGGCTTGGTCTTGCATTTTGAGCCGTCGAAGACTACACTTCGTAGCATGAACCGGCCCTTGGGAACGACAATGGTTACGGGTCGAGCCGAGCCGCATGCGTTGGCCCACGCCTGCATGAAGGCTTTTGTCGAGTCGGTTATGCCGTCGGGTTTGGCTCCGTAAGACAAGACATTGTAGGTTTGAGCTGAACACGAGGTGGAGACCAAGAAAATGATGAAGAAGAAGATGAATACAAGCCATGTTTTGTTGGGATGAATAGTGGAAGTCATTGTGTTTTTCTTTTTTTAGGTTTGTCTTTTTGGTGTACGTTTTGTATGCGGGGAGAGAGAGAGAGAGAGAGAGAGAGAGAGAGAGTGGAGTGGTGGTGGTCTGGTGAGAGACAATCGATGCAGTTATGGAGGTTATTTATAATGTTTTGTGTGGTGGTTATTGTGGAATATTTTCTTAATGTTTTATTTTATTGGTTAATTTATTGTATAAATAATAAATTCCCTGCGTAATATTATAAGTTAATGGATTTGGCATGAACATAAAGTCACCTTCGGCCTTACGTACGAACTAAGAATTATGCATGAAATGTTTTTAAATTCCAAAAACATTATAGGGGTTGACATGAAGAGTGTATTGATTGGTTAATCGCAATTATGTTCATCTAATTATCATCATCACATGCACAAATCATACATATTCAAACCTCAATCCTCTTCAATTATATCGTCTAGTTTCTTATAGAATTACATTGGCTGTTGCATTTTCCATATCATAATGGCAATAACTATGGTCTCCATATAGTCATTAAAAAAATAATTCTATAGAATATAAAATACAAAATAAAAAATAAATAAAATGCAGTATTAGTTCGCTGCATCAAACTCTTTGTCGGGAAAAATGAAATCTAAGATTATTATCAAATCAGCATCTGTACGTACGTTAACAATTTGCATGTTTGGTTGACGAATCCCACATTCATTTGCCTTATTGCTTTTGTTGATCTTTTATTGAAATTCGTGTATACATATGCATACCCATAAAAACTTATAATCAGGAACAAGCTTAATTTTTATTATAGGGTAAACTTAATTTTACGACGGGGTATTTATTAATTTTATTCAAAATTTTATAAACGTTATAAAGGAATTATATATTTTAATTAAATGACGGGGTTGCATCTGACCTATATATAAACATGTAAGCCCGCCCATGTATATGTGTATATAATTATGTATTTGATCCAAGATTCATAGAGAAAGGAACGTCGAAATTAGACGTTAATCATTTTCGCCGCCGTCGAGGTTAATGTATTATATTTGATAAAAAAAAATTGATGAAAACATTTTTGTGGTATTAAATTATAATTACTGTTGCGCATTTATCCAATATAATTTTCTTTTAGGAGCACTAATGATATTATGATTCGAACACTATATATACATATATTAATACGAACAAATGGTCATGAAATATAAATGTATAATACAAAGTTTGGAAGTTTGAAAAAGAAATCTAGGAGGATTAAAAGAGAAGGTAGTGAAATTTACAATGGCCAAAACAGTATACTTGAGTGTACGTACGCACTTTTGCATCAAAATACAAAAAAATATACATGTATTACGTACGTACATTGCATGGAAATGTGGTTGCTTGACACTAAAATTTCGTTACCAAATGACACAAATACGTAAAGTCTTTCCACTTTGGCCGTCCCGTTTTTCAATGTTAGCAACGTAGCTTCTATCATATTATCAATTTTAATATGTTTTTATGAAAAAAAAGTATACATTTAGTATCTAATAATTACTACAATATAATAAAATAAATATTGATTATTTTCTGATAATTATTATTATATTCAATAAAATATTGATTATTTCTAATAATATATTTTACTCAGATACCTATACACATGTAGTATCTAAAAAAGAAACATAAGACAACGTATATGTCTTGAAGAAAAAATGTGATATATATATAGATATGTATGTTACACACATATATGGACCATATGGAGTAACATGGGAAAGAAACGTGATAAGTGGAGCAGAAAGCGGAGAAGAAATAGCATCAAAACTATAATTAATTCAATTTAAATAAAGAATTTTATACCTTGTACAGTTATTGAATGCATGGCTTGTAATGAACTTTTACATGTTCGACTATTTTAATCACAGTAATTAATATGGATAATGGATAATATAACATAATATAATATAATACAGTATGTCAACATAAATTTTGGTGAGGGTACGTATAAGGAGCGCAGTGTGTACACGAATGTTTTGTTAAGTCGTACATTTACTTAGTCTCGTCATAGCCAAGTTCATGCACTTGATTAACGTGTTAATGGTGAAATTAGATATGATGATGGCGTATTAACGAGTTAGCTAATTGAATTTTATATTTGGTTAATTGATCAATAAAGGTCAATGGGAAAAATGGAGGGATCGATCAAGATCCGCCGCATTAATATTGCATGTTCGATATTTTCGTTCAATACTTAACTTAGAAGAACAATCTATAACATACATACAAACAAATATGCATGCATGCATGCTTTTGCAATATACATATAATATAGGATTAGAGCTTGTGATTTAATTAATAAGAAGTTTAAATTGTCCACTTTTTATATCTTATGATCCTTATATCCGATACCCATGTGACCAATAAAAATCATTAATTGTATTGCTTAATATGTAGGACCAAAAGTATACATGTGTACGGCTCTTGTATTACATTATGTATGTATGTATGTATGTATGTATGTATGTATGTATGTATGTATGTATGTATGTATGTATGTATGTATGTATGTGTTTTCACAGTTGGATATTGTTTTTGGATGTTGATGAGGGCTCACATGGCTTTGACCATAAAATGCGATGTGATGTTTGCACACACTAATGATGATGCGTTTATGCATAAAATGATTGGCCGCATTGTATGGATCAGGCGTACAACCCTGATCGAATTAACGTGTAATTAAAGCCTTGACACAAGCCTGGCATGTATGTTGAGTTCATGCTTCTCCTTCATAATCACACATATATATACCTATATTATATATATACATATTCGTATATATACATGATGTTGTTAGTCTGTGTGTGTGTGAGAGAGAGAGAGCACGTGATTTAGTGGTTGACCTATATACAAAAACTGATAGCCAACATAGGCTTATAAGTTATAACCACATGATTCGTTAATTAAGATTATGAACATTAATTAGATGAATTTAGGGTAATTTAACTTATATCTAAAGTATCTTGAGGAATTGGGGTCCGAGCCAAATCTTAGAGTGCTGATAATCCGCCGAAAGTATAAAGTTAATTAAGATTATGAACATTAATCACCTTACCTTAGGCAACAAGTACCAAACCTTTTGAGCCTCTGTGGAAAACTAAGTAATAATACTATAATAATTAATTAACTAACTATAATCAAACGGTAATCATTATTGATTTATTTTCTCTATAAAAGAAAACGTACACAAATAAATATGAGCAAAGGGGTCCAATCGCATGGAGAAGAATCCTTGATATATACCAAACGGTTCTAATGATATTTTAGTTATTCAGTTAATTAATCATATTAAATGATATTTTAGTTTCAGGGACGGAAGTTGGACCAAATAATCCTCAATTCCATGTTTAATGCCCTTGTAATAATATCTATATAATAATCTTTTCTACTCCTCTGAATAATTGACGTTCACACTTTTTAAAAATCTATAAAAAAAAGTTATATATATCCTCATTAAATTATTTCTCAGTAATATTGTAGTCAAATCGGATCATTAAAATCAAGGGTAAAATTGGATTTTTTTTTAAAAAGCACCTAAAAATCTGAAACGACATCTATTGAATAACAAGATATATCCTTTTAAAGGTCATCTATTAAGAAATGGAGGAAATATATATTTTTTAATATTAATATATAGAATCGTCGAAAAATTTCAGTGCTCCGTTTCTAAAAATTATAGACTTTTGTTTTCTAAAACTAGAATAAATCCAAACTTTGTCAAATACAAATCCGTCTTATATATTCCAATGTACCATGACACTAATTGACGAGAAATTGGAGACGACCGAAAGTAGGGTAATGCTCGGCCGGTCCGAACCCGACATAATCTTGAAAATTTACGGGTCAGATTGGTCGGGCCCGAAATATGATTGGATCTAAAACGTTAGGTTTGAATTCCGATCTTATGGATTTTTTTCGGTTTCGATTTCAGATCGGGCTTCTAAAATTTGGGGTTTTTACCCAAATAACCCTTTTGGCTCTTGTATTACATTGGTTGCTGCATTTTCCATATCATAATGGCAATAAATATGGTCTCCATATAGTCATTAAAAAAATTAATTCTATGGAATGTAAAATACAAAATACAAAATAAATAAAACGCGGTATTAGTTCGCTCCATCAAACTCTTTGTTGGGAAAAATAAAATCTAAGATTATTATCGAATCAGCATCTGTACGTACGTTAACAATTTGCATGTTTGGTTGGCGAATCCCACATTCATTTACCTTATTGCTTTTGTTGATCTTTTATTGAAATTAGTGTATACATATGCAGACCCATAAAAACTTATAATCAGGTCAGGAACAAGCTTAATTTTTATTATAGGGTAAACTTAATTTTACGACGGGGTATTTATTAATTTTATTCAAAATTTTATAAACTTTATAAAGAAATTATATATTTTAATTAAATGAACGGGGTTGCATCTGACCTATATATAAACATGTAAGCCCGCCCATGTATATGTGTATATAATTATGTATTTGATCCAAGATTCATAGAAAAAGGAACGTCGAAATTAGACGCTAATCATCTTCGCCGCCGTCGAGGTTAATGTATTATATTTGATAAAAAAAATTGATGAAAACATTTTTGTGGTATTAAATTATAATTACTGTTGCGCATTTATCCAATATAATTTTCTTTTAGGAGCACTAATGATATTATGATTCGAACACTATATATACATATATTAATACGAACAAATGGTCATGAAATATAAATGTATAATACAAAGTTTGGAAGTTTGAAAAAGAAATCTAGGAGGATTAAAAGAGAAGGTAGTGAAATTTACAATGGTCAAAACAGTATACTTGAGTGTACGTACGCACTTTAATTTGCATCAAAATACAAAAAAATATACATGTATTACGTACGTACATTGCATGGAAATGTGGTTGCTTGACACTAAAATTTCGTTACCAAATGACACAAATACGTAAAGTCTTTCCACTTTGGCCGTCCCGTTTTTCAATGTTAGCAACGTAGCTTCTATCATATTATCAATTTTAATATGTTTTTATGAAAAAAAAGTATACATTTAGTATCTAATAATTACTACAATATAATAAAATAAATATTGATTATTTTCTGATAATTATTATTATATTCAATAAAATATTGATTATTTCTAATAATATATTTTACTCAGATACCTATACACATGTAGTATCTAAAAAAGAAACATAAGACAACGTATATGTCTTGAAGAAAAAATGTGATATATATATAGATATGTATGTTACACACATATATGGACCATATGGAGTAACATGGGAAAGAAACGTGATAAGTGGAGCAGAAAGCGGAGAAGAAATAGCATCAAAACTATAATTAATTCAATTTAAATAAAGAATTTTATACCTTGTACAGTTATTGAATGCATGGCTTGTAATGAACTTTTACATGTTCGACTATTTTAATCACAGTAATTAATATGGATAATGGATAATATAATATAATACAGTATGTCAACATAAATTTTGGTGAGGGTACGTATAAGGAGCGCAGTGTGTACAGGAATGTTTTCTTAAGTCGTACATTTACTTAAGTCTCGTCATAGCCAAGTTCATGCACTTGATTAACGTGTTAATGGTGAAATTAGATATGATGATGGCGTATTAACGAGTTAGCTAATTGAATTTTATATTTGGCTAATTGATCAATAAAGGTCAATGGGAAAAATGGAGGGATCGATCAAGATCCGCCGCATTAATATTGCATGTTCGATATTTGCGTTCAATACTTAACTTAGAAGAACAATCTATAACATACATACAAACAAAATATATGCATGCATGCATGCTTGCCTTTGCAATATATAATATAGGATTAGAGCTTGTGATTTAATTAATAAAAAGTTTAAATTGTCCACTTTTTAAGTATATCTTATGATCCTTATATCCGATACCCATGTGACCAATAAAAATCATTAATTGTATTGCTTAATTTGTAGGACCAAAAGTATACTATAATGTGTACGGCTCTTGTATTACATTATGTATGTATATATGTATGTATGTACGTACGTCGTACGTACGTACGTATGTATGTATGTATGTATGTATGTATGTATGTATGTATGTATGTATGTATGTATGTATGTATGTATGTATGTATGTATGTATGTATGTATGTATGTATGTATGTATGTATGTATGTATGTATGTATGTATGTATGTATGTATGTATGTATGTATGTATGTATGTATGTATGTATGTATGTATGTATGTATGTATGTATGTATGTATGTATGTATGTATGTATGTATATATGTATGTATGTATGTATGTATGTATGTATGTATGTATGTATGTGTTTTCACAGTTGGATATTGTTTTTGGATGTTGAGGGCTCACATGGCTTTGACCATAAAATGCGATGTGATGTTTGCACACACTAATGATGATGCGTTTATGCATAAAATGATTGGCCGCAATGTATGGATCAGGCATACAACCCTGATCGAATTAACGTGTAATTAAAGCCTTGACACAAGCCTGGCATGTATGTTGAGTTCATGCTCCTCCTTCGTAATCACACATGTATATACCTATATTATATATATACATATTCGTATACATACATGATGTTGTTAGTCTGTGTTTGTGTGTGTGTGAGAGAGAGAGAGAGAGAGAGAGAGAGAGAGAGCACGTGATTTAGTGGTTGACCTATATACAAAAACTGATAGCCAACATAGGCTTATAAGTTATAACCACATGATTCGTCAATTAAAATTATGAACATTAATTAGATGAATTTAGGGTAATTTAACTTATATCTAAAGTATCTCAAGGAATTGGGGTCCGAGCCAAATCTTAGAGTGCTGATAATCCGCCGAAAGTATAAAGTTAATTAAGATTATGAACATTAATCACCTTAGGCAACAAGTACCAAACCTTTTGAGCCTCTGTGGAAAACTAAGTAATAATACTATAATAATTAATTAACTAACTATAATCAAACGGTAATCATTATTGATTTATTTTCTCTATAAAAGAAAACGTACACACATAAATACGAGCAAAGAGATCCAATCGTCACATGGAGAAGAATCTTTGGTATATACCAAACGGTTCTAATGATATTTTAGTTATTCAGTTAATTAATCATATTAAATGATATTTTAGTTTCAGGGATGGAGGTTGTAATGCTCGGCCGGTCCGAACCCGACATAATCTTGAAAATTTACGGGTCAGATTGGTCGGGCCCTAAATATGATTGGATCTAAAACGTTAGGTTTGAATTCCGATCTTATGGACTTTTTTCGGTTTCGATTTCAGATCGGGTTTCTAATTTAGATATTTGAAAAAATAATTATTTATAAAAAAATATAAATCATAGATAATCAAAATACAAAATACAAATTTTTTACTCCCTCCGTTTCAAAATATTTGTAGTTTTAGTTTATTTTCCATGTTTCGAAATATTTGTCATTCTACATTTCCAAGATAGTTTTTTACAATAGTTTCCAATTTTATCCCTCCCAAATTCCAATAAATTATTAGTGATAACATTATTTTTATCATTAAATAAGGTTATATGTGTCTTTTTCTCTATTTTCTTAAAAAATGTGAAAAATCCTAAAACTACAATTAATCTGAAACGGAGGGATTAATATATATTCGTGATAACTAAAAAATAAAAATTCGATAACAAAATTTAATAGTATATATTTTGATTTAAAATGAATTAAAATTCGAATTCTTTAAATTTATGCAGTAATAATTTTTTTAAAGTATTATATTTTTTAATCCGAATTATTACTTGAAATTTATTATTATAATTTTGAATATATTGGTTATTAAACGTTAAATTTTAAATTATTTAGTACTATGTAATTTTTTATTTTATTTTATAATTCTCTATATTATATAAATTTTTATATTTTTTCTATCCGAATTATTGTATATTTTAACTATGAATATATATATATATATATATGATTGAATATGTGAATCTGTACGTAATAATATTAATATTAATCGGGTCAAATACGGTCCAGCCCGACCCGAACCACGTTTCATTCCTTTTCACTGCAGTCAGCTCATCCGACATTGCAGCCTGCCAAATTGCATTATCCTTGGTTTCTTCATAAGAGACCGATTTAGGAGAGAATAATAATCATGCAGATGATAAATTACTGTAGAAGCATCTATTCACCGCTACATGGGAGCCGTTTGCCATCCCGGAATTTCACCCTACGCCTTCCAGCCCCGCGAGAGAGCTCGCCAAGGAGATATGATTATGGGTTTTTAGTATCTTTAGGGTTTTCTTATGTTAAGTCACAGTAAAGAAGACGGTTTCAAGTTATGGGCTGAAACCGAAGATATTGTAAAATACAAGGGTAAATTGAAACGAAAAGAGAGATCTATTTTTAAAACGGCGTCATTTTCGAACTCAAGCTTCAGGAAATTCCTAGGGTTTTGTTGCCATCCTGTTGAAACACGAGGGGGAGAAAGCCTCACTCATGGCGCTTTGTAGAGCTCGAGCTGCTTCTTCTGCTTTGTTCAAGAGTGTTATCCGTCCAGTTTTTCGCAATTTCTCCACGGGTATGTACTCCTTAGTCTTCTCTCGATCTGTTGATTTTACTCTGGATTTCCTGTTTGGCTCTCGGGAAAAAAATGATCGAGCAATGGGAAATCGCTAGATTCCGTTCCAAGTCTTCTGACTGCTATCCGGAGATAGGAATTTTCGTAATCTGCACACACTGGCAACAGAGATTCGAACAAGTTCTCTCTTGATTCGATGCGAAATCGGATTCTGGAAACTCGGAATACAGAACACAGAAACAACTTCTCTGATATGTTACCGAAATTGATCAAAGGTTTCTGCATTCGCAATACATAAACTTCGACAATACTTGTATCAACACATATAACTGCACAGCTGCAGTTAAACTGACAGTTTAAAAACAGGCAACAATATAACTGACACACATACATAACTGCTCTCGTCTAGGACTTGAATCAGGCTCTGTTCCAACAATTTTGAGCTCAGGAGTATTTTAAACCGACAATTTGACGAATATTTGAGATGAAGCAAGGAGCTCGTTATTTGATTGATGAACTTTTGCTAGGGATCGATTCATGTAATTACTTCACAAATGCGACTTTGGTGGTCCAGATGGCTGTATCTTTGATGAATTGAGCTAGTGACTTAGTCTGGTTCTTTTTCCCGATATCGGCATTGTTTCTTCTTAAGGATGGGGGTTTTAAGCTTCAAAAACCTGTTCATCCAGCTTGCAAATGTTCATAATACTCGAGTGTGCCTTGAAGAAATGATATTGGAAAAGGGAACTAGATGCCAATAGAGGGTTTTATTTCGTGTCTGAAATCCTTTGGTGAAACTCATTTGGTAGGATCATGGAAGAGAAGTGGGGTTTTTAAAGGAAAATTGTTTTCTGTCTGAAAAGTAGTTTTACTTGTCCCGTATAAGTATAGACTGGCCTAACATCTGTGACCACTGACCAGGATCTAGCTCTTGTGTAAGTTTACATGCCGGAATTTAATTGAGAAAGGTGTTTATATGTATAGAACTTAGCTTTGCTGTAAATCGATCCATGTCCTTGCTCGGTGAGTTTTACAGGCTCTCTCTTTACTTATCTGTTGCAGATGTGGCCAATGCACAAAACCAATCCTTGATCGAGAACATGAAACGGGAGATGCTCCACATGGACATCAACTCAATGATAGGAAGTTGCATGCCCTTGGGAATGATGCGGATTGGGACAATCATCCACAACATCGAGGTGAACCCGGGGCAGGGCGGGAAGCTGGTCCGAGCCGCTGGAACCAACGCCAAAATCCTCAAGGAACCAGCATCGGGGAGGTGCTTGATAAAACTGCCATCGGGCAACGAGAAATGGATTGATTCCAAATGCCGGGCCACAATAGGGACAGTTTCAAACCCTGGCCATGGAGCTAAGAAGCTGAGGAAAGCCGGGCAGAGCAGGTGGCTAGGGCGGAGACCAACTGTTCGAGGAGTGGCGATGAACCCAGTGGACCATCCCCATGGAGGAGGTGAGGGGAAAAGCAAGAGTAGTGGTTGCAGGGGGAGGACGTCAGTCTCGCCGTGGGGAAAGCCGTGCAAAGGAGGCTACAAAACCGCCCGGCTCAAGAAGAAGAAGAAGTAGACGTTTGTATTTGTTCTTCGTTTTTACTGCTTCTGCCCCTTTGTATCCGCTTCTGCTGTTAAAGTGGTGATCCAAGTAAACAAGACTTTGCATCTCTTTCGTTTTGGAATCAGGTTAAACAAGTAGCTTTCTTTGATTTTGGATTTTTCCATAGATAAATACTAATTTTTCAAATAAATTTTGGATTTTTTTCATTATTTTTGTATTTGCTACACTTTGGATTTGATTTATTCGATTTTTAAAAGAATCATAACTATTCGTAATTCATATCATATTTGTTTCAATTTCGTAATTTATATCATATTTGTTTCAATTTAGGTTAGATGTCTCCCATTTAGTTTTTTGGTTATTAACCAAATTGCTGAATCTCAATTTCTATTCCTATCATCTACACGGTATTGAATATACTCTCTCCGTTTCCGTGTATTATATACGGGATGAAATAAAAGCCCAGCCCAAAAGCCCATACCAGCAGAAAAGCAAGGGCTGGGCAGTGATAAAATTACACCCGAAGTGGTGGAGCTGGAAAGGGTAAGAGCAAAAACCCTAATTATCATCTCCGAGATTTCTGCAGGAACCAATCGAGCATCGATGGGGATTCTGTCGTGGTTCAGGGGAAGCCCGAAGCCGGCGCAGACCGAAACTTCGAAGCCCGAGAAGCAGCAGCAGCAGACGGCAAAGCCGGAGACTCCGGCTCCGGGGATGAACGGAGCCATCGAAGTGCCTCGACCGGAGAGCGTGACGGTGTTCGAGTTCGGCTCCGTAGCGGCCACAGGAGACAGAGTGACTCTCGCCGGGTACTGTCCTGTCTCCGACGAGCTCGAACCATGCCTGTGGGAGATTCTCCCGGCGGAGGGAAAGGACGCGCCCCAGTTTCGAGTGGTGTTCTGAGAGTTTCAGAAACCGCACCTTTTGTAAAATTCTGTGAACTCTGTTTTTCATTCGTGAAGATTAGATGGGTAAATTTGTACTCCTGGGCAGAGACAAAATTTGTTGAGAGTACGTTGAATATGGCGGTTTCTTGAATGATTTTTGTCTCTGGAAAACACAAAACTGTGTTCAGATCAAGAAATGATGTCTGGATCCAGACCGAAAAGCTTATGTTTTCTGAGTCAATTGGAATTCACATTGGGTCCGAATGAAGATTTTGGTATCTTTCTTCTTCGAATCTGAAATAAATAAAGCGGACTGAGGATGAAGAAGAACGGCATTGAAAAGGGTTCATAATCATCAAAACAGTAAATACTTAATTACAAGTGATTCGCATATGTCATGAAACATAAAAATAAAGCTCAGTTGAGTTTTGTATTTTCATGATGCTTGCAGGCTCGGCTTCTGCTTCAAGGACTTAACCATTGAAACCAATGTCTGAATATTGACATCAGAAGTGCCTCCTTCTCCGACAGCTTCCATGGCTAAATCTCTCCATTTCTTTGCATTCTCTTTCACCTCTCTGCTCTTCTCTCCTTCCATTACTTGTCTTATACAGAACTCAATCTCTTCTCTCCTCACAATCCCACTCTCTTCATCTTCCTTCACACGAACCCCAACCTTCCACACATCTTCTATGTACTTTGCGTTCGTGGGTTGGTCCGTCCATTGTGGCATCGCCACCAATGGAACCCCCAAACTCAATGCCTCCATTGTCGAGTTCCATCCACAGTGAGTTACAAAACATCCGATTGCTCTGTTTGATAACACCTCAAGCTGAGGACTCCACTTCACGACCAAGCTCTTGTCTCTGTCCACTGTCTGTAAGAAACCAGACGGTAGCTTTGCCTCCTCTGAACCTCTGACAACCCACAAGAAACTGAAGTTGCTTAGAGACCAAGCAAGCTCCTCCATTTGTGCTCTGCTAAGGTCGGCCATGCTTCCAAAGGCCACATACACAACCGACCCTTGTGGTTTCTCGTTCAGCCATTCGGTGCAGAACTCCGAGTCTTTCATGTCGAATAGCATCAGATCGTAGTTGTTATCGGTTTCGATACGTCGGTCTAGGTACATGGACGGCACGGTTGGGCCCACTGTCATGACTGGACAGACTTTAGACATCAACTCCGTCTCCTGAAGTGCAAACAGAAAGTCAGAACAGAGTTATTAGTGCATCTGAGCAACATCATCAAACAGACTGAAGTTCATCATGTACTAAGTGTACCTCAACTTCCAGTTTTTGAAAGACATTAAAGAGGACAAAATCAGCTTTATGGAAGTTGGAAAACTGATGCAGAACCATCTCGAAGTAGGCAGGGTAAGACCCAGGAACAGAAATAAACGAAGGGATATCTTGTTGCTCAAGGAAGCTCAACCCATCAATGGGAAGCCGCAGCTTGCCTTGATGGGCGAGGTAATATACATAGTTAACAGCGCAAGACTGAGTGAAAAAAGGGGCGACGGTCAAACCGAATTCTCTGCCGACTTCAAAAGCCCAGGGCAAGAAAGGGTCGTAGACAAGACAGGTGATGGGGTTGTCGGAACTCTGGTGTTTTCTGATGAGTTGGGCTAGGGTTTCGGTTCCGACGGAACGGAGGCGGTGGAGATAGTCGTGGATGTTTTCGGCGGCCATGAAACCGCCGCTGTCGTAGCCGTCGGGGATGGTTTCCAA